TATAGAAATGCTACTGATTATTGTATGTTTATTTTATATCCTGCCACTTTACTCATTCATGCATTACTTCTAATAGTTTTAAGTGGAGTCTTTAGAATTTTCTATATGTAAGATAATGCCATCTACGATAGGGACAATTTGACCTCTTTCCAATTTGGATACCTATTATTTTTTCTACTTGCCAAATCGCTCTGGCTGTAACTTCTAATACCATGTTGAATAGAAGTGTCAAGAGGGGACATTCTTGTTATGTTCCTGATCTCAGAGAAAAAACTCCACTTTTCACCATGGGATATGATGTTAGCTGTGGGTTTGTCATATGTGGCCTTTATTGCGTTGCAGTACATTCCTTCCATAAGTAATTTGTTTGATAGTTTTTAGTCAGGAAAGGATAAATTTTATCAAATGCATTTGTTCATCTACTGAGAGTATCATGTTGTTTTGACCTTCATTCTGTTAATGCAGCTTATCACATTTACACATTTATGTACACTGAACTATCCTTACATCCCTGGGATAAACTTGATGGTGGTGAATGATCCTTTCACTATGCTGTTAATTCTGGTTTTCAGTATTTTGTTGAAGATTCCTACATCTATGTTCATCAGGGATACTGATTTGTAATTTTCTTGTAATCTGGCTTTGATATCAGTGTTTTTTATCTATTATTATATCGTGTTTATTAGTTGGCATTTTTGTAGGAATTTGTTTTATCTATGTTTTCAAATTTATTGGCGTAAAGTTGTTCATACTTTTCTCTAGTTAATATGACTTTAGTATCTATAGTAGAGTGATTATATTAGTTTCTTGTGGCTGCTGAAACAAATCACCACAAACTTGGTAGCTTAAAATAACAGGAGTTGATTTTCTTACAGTGATAGAAGCCAGAAGTCTGAAATAATCTTTACCAGTTTAAAATTGAACTGTTGGCAACACTGTGCTCTTTCTGGAGGCTCAAGCAGAGGTCCCCACCTCCCAGGCCATGGGCCAGAACCAGGCCATGTCCTGTTAGGAACTGTGCCGCATAGAAGTGAGCAGGAAGTAAGCAGCGGACAAGCGAGGTTTACTGCCTGAGCTCCACATCCTGTGAGATCATAGGAGTATGAACCCTATTGTGAATTGCACATGCAGAGATCTAGACTGAATGCTCCTTAAGAGAATCTAACTATGCCTAATGATCTGAGGTGGAAGAGTTTCACTCCCAAACCATCCCCTACCCCTCTGCCCACCACATCCTACCCATCACAAAACTATCTTCCACAAAACCAATGCCTGGTGCCAAAAAGGTTGGAAGCCATCACTGTAGAGAACCATCTACTCCTGGCTTTTTCTATTTCTGGTGGCTGCCAGCATCCCTTGCTTTGTGGCCATATTAATTCAATCTTCAAGGCCAGTGTCCTCAAATTTCTCTCTGCTCCATCTTCACATAGCTTCTCGTTTGTGCGTGTGAGATTTCTGATAACACTTAGGCACTAGGCTAGTCTAATATTACCTTCCCAACTCAAAATTCTTAGGCACATCTGGAAAGGTCCTTTCCCCAATTAAAGTTATGTTTTCAGGTTCCCGGAACTAGGACCTCATGTCTTTGCAGGGTGTAATTCAGCCTAGATAGTGAGGCTCCCATTTTTATTTCTAATGTTGGTCATTTGTACACCCTCCTTTTATTAATCAATCTCTCCAAGGTTTATACATTTTAAAGCTTTCTCAAAAAGAAATCTGGATGTGTTCATTTCTCCTCTTTCATATGATTGCTGATAGAGGAAGAATAGAAATTAACCTATCATTTACTATTGGCTTTATTTTGCTTTTATAAAACTCCTTAAAGTTGATGCTTCCTTATTAGTTATTTTTGCTTCTTGCCTAATACACGCTTTGAAATTTCCTGGATGACAGGTTTGGCCTGGGTCTCTCTTTCCTATTTCCTGCCTTATTTCTGTCCAGAGAAGTCATCACCATTGACATTTCTATATAGCGTACCTTACTTATTTTGCTTTTTGCTCATTTTCCTCCTAGAACATAAGCTCCAAGAGCAGAGTTTTTGTTAATTTTTGTCATTCCTGTATATGACATGTACCTAGAAAAATGTCTGTGACATAGACTGATGAAGCATAGATGGAAATTTCATCACACACTGGGCACTGTGGTACCTGGGGACGAATGGGAAGAAACAGGCACATTCCCTGGATTCATGTGGTTCTGGGTTATGGGGAGGCCAGGCTCTGAGCAAAAGATTAAATTCAAAGTAAGTCCTTAAACAGAGGAAGTACTGCCACTAAGGAGCATAAAATGAGAGCTCTAATCCAGCCTCTTTAGATTGAAGGAGGCATCCCTGAATAAGAAATAGATGAACCGAGAATAACCAGCTGTTAGCTTCCCTGAAGAGAAAGTAGAAGGGAAGGGGAATAAATTGGTACAGAAGACCTTAAGCAAAGCTATCCACCAAATACATGCTGAATGATAACAATTAAAGGTCAATTGCTCATCTCCCAGTTGTACCATATTTGATAGCATGGAAACCACGTGGGTGCCATGGGTGTTTGCTTTTCTGATTGGTTCTTTCAACTCCCAGTAACAACGATGCTTTGCCAATGTAAGTGCCCAGGTTAAAACTGTTGTACACCTTGTAATATGTTTTAAGGAAAAGTATGAACACAAATACATTAAAAATCCTATAAAGCTGTCTTAATTAATATATTGACTAAATTCTAGCTATTCAGCCACAAAATTTCTTATTTTTAATTTTTCAAGACTGCCTTTTGTGCCTTTTTTTTTTTTTGAGACAGAGTCTCCCCTGTCACCCAGGCTGGAGTACAGTGCAGTGATTTCAGCTCACCACAAGCTCCGCATCCTGGGTTCAAACTATTCTCCTGCCTCAGGCTCCCAAGTAGCTGGGATTACAGGTATGTACCACCATGCCAAGCTAATTTTGTATTTTTAGTAGAGAGGGGTTTCTTCATAATGGTCAGTCTGGTCTTGAACTCCTGACCTCAGATGATTTGCCCACCTCGGTCTCCCAAAGTGCTTGGATTATAGGCATGAGCAATCGTGCCCGGCCTTGTGGTTTCTTATACACAATCTGTATGGCATTTCTGCCCATAGAGCATTCCCTGGCCTGTGTCAGAGCTTATTACCATCTGGACTTGCTACTGTTTACCTTGTGCCAGATGCTTTTTATGGATGGGGAATTTGTTCTCATTCTTTTGCCCACAGCCCTCCCTTCAGTTTAAGGGTTATATTCATTGAATTCAGGTTAAAAAATGGAGCTATTTTACTTGAAACTAGTTCTGTCACTATCTAGCCTTCTGTATACATCATGTAAACCTACCCATTGGAATTGGAGAGGGATTTAATTGCTTATTTCAAATTAGCTTTAATAAAGTTATGTAGAAAGCAATTTTCAAAATTTAATCTCTGATTTCAAAGAGGCATAACTGATATATAGAACTTTTCACATCAAATCTATACTTTTTTAGCCTTCATCAAAAGGAGGCAGGGTAAAAGTTTAATCACGGGAAGGAAGCACGGAGCCAATAAAAAAAATATAAAGGGAGAAAAGGAAATAATAAAATTTCAGTGAATCTTTCCAGGATCACTGTGGGATCTGTGTTATCTCCATTTTAGGGGTTAGAAAACAGAAAAAGAGACAGATCATTCAGAAAGCAGGCATAAGAGTCTGAGATTTGTATCTGGCTCTGCATGACTCCACAGTTTATGATTTATCTGTCATCCCAAGTTGCCTATGAGAACAAACGAATATCTGAATAAAGCAAGGTGAAGGTAAGAGAAACTAAAAAAAAACAGAGAAATCATTTCTTTCCTTCATATTAAGCTTCCATTCAACAATTATAGGTAATGAAGTAGATTTCTGGCTAGGATTTTACTCTTTGCTAGTTTGATTTGGGAACCAGTATTTTCTCATCCCTCTTTTCCTTCCTGCCTCCCTCCCACCCTCCCTCCCATAGAATCTCACTCTGTCACCCAGCTCACTGCAACCTCCACCTCCCATGTTGCTCCTGCCTCAGCCTCCTGAGTGGCTGGGATTACAGGCATGCACCACCATATCCGGCGAATTTTTGTTATTTTTTGTAGAGCTGGGGTTTAAACATCTTGGCGAGGCTGATCTCAAAGTCCTAGTCTCAATTGATCCACCTGCCTTGGCCTCACAAAGTGCTGGGATTACAAGCATGAGCCACCACACCTGGCCCAGAAACCAGTATTTGATTTCTGAGTAGAATATTGATAGATATTGGAAATTCTTTTTACTTTTTACGAATTAGAACATCAGTAGAATCTTTACACCAAATAACAACCTTGAATATTTGTGTCCATGGAACACAATCTCTGTTAAGACACTTAACACTGAAAAAAGTCAATTGTGAAAAAAGAAAAACAACAGGACAGTCTGGTGTGTCAACTGAGAGCCAGACAGATGTTAAATGGGAGGAAGAATTGTAACTCCAATTCTCCTCCATTTCACTTTACTTCCCAGAAGTCAGAGGCAAATGCCAGCGTGCTCTTGATCTAGTTCTGGAAGTTGCTCTTCTATAGATAAGAGATAATATAAGCTAAAATGAAATAAAATGAAGGAGAATGTTTGGTGACTCTTTCACAGAGACCGGTGAGTAGCTGTGTGAGCTTGGCCCTCTGTGGTTGTAGCGTCTAGGAAGGGGATCAAACACATCCATGTATTTGGAGCTGTGAGAGCTCAAAAGAGAAGAATAACCTTTACCAGGGCTGTTCAGGAAAGGTGTCAGTGTATATCCTTTGAGTTGACACCAGAGTACAAAAAATCAAGGACCAGAATCAGGGAAGAATCCTTTAATAAACCTTGTCTGTAAATTAGACACCAGATAGGGTAAATATATCTAGCTTGGAGGCTTCAAAAATGACCAGAGAACCCAAAATGTATTAAGCAAGGCTTATAAAAAGGATAGAATGATGTATAAGAAACAGTTAAAAGAATTCATATCAATGGACAATGGCTGGAAAGAATGACTTACCTTCAAATTCAGTGAGCTTTATCTGGAATGAGCATTGGGTGGGGGCCCAGAATACGTTGAGTTATTTTTCATTATTATACCTGTGACTTTGTAGGAGTCGTGTCACTGTTTCAATACTTCATTCCATGATCTGTAAAACAAAGAAGTCGCATGAACTATCTTCACTGTCCCTCCCAGCTGTAAAATCATATGATTCCAGATATGTAAAAGATGTATGTATAAGAAGGTTGATGAGAATCCATTCCCAGTATTCAAAGAAGACAGGAAAAGCAATGGGTTTAAAGAAAAAATAATAATATAATTAAAAAATTAAAACTATTCTCGTCTCCTTAGATTCACATTAGGTCTCCTTAGATATTATAAAATTGTGATGCACGACCATTAGCTAGACAGAATTTTAGCCTAATAGCTACTATCATTTGTATGCTTCTGATGGGTCAAGTGCTATATTTAACACTTTACATATTTTATTAAATACTCAGTATCTATGAGGTAGATTCTATTATTGCCACCACTTTGATAATGCGGAAACTGAAGCTTGCAAAGATGAAATAACTTCCTTTAGGTTACATATAAACCTAAGAGGCAGCACTGGGATTAGACCTCTGTCTGTCCTATCACAAAGCCCTTGTTTTTAGCCTTTATAACCTCCTTATATCAAGCACAGGCCTCATCAATTTGTAAGATCCCTCTTCTGATTTTGTGATCATAGAACAGCTGACAAAATTTTGAGCACAACTTTTTTTTTTTTATCCCTTCAGATGTGACTTATCATGGAACAAATATCTAGTGTTTACAGAAATAAAAGTTCTATTACATTGCTTCATGTCCGAGTATACAGAGGTTTTATGTGTTTCTCTGGGAAGAAAAGGAAATACAGCTGTTTTGCAGGTAATAACAGTTTATTTTATGTCCTATTTTCTTTAACAGGGATTGCTCTTACTTGGAAACTCTCCTGGCATTTTGTAGATAATAAAGATGTAAAAAGAATGCTTTTTGCAGAGAGTTTCACAAGCCTTTCCCCCAGTTCATAATCCATGGCAGAAGGCATCTACAACCTGATTTCAAGGCAGCTTATCCATACTTTTGACACATAGGGACTAGGGCCTCTCTTCTGATGTGTCTAAGATCAACTCTTCCATCATTGGAGCCTCCAACATCCTTGTGAGAAAAGCAGTACCCTGCCAACTTGAAAAAATGCTAAGGAAGATATTTTTTGCAAGGCAGAAACAGAAATGAAAAGTTGGCTGTTGCAAATTTGATGTTAATAAGACTGAATTGCTCTCTGATTAAATATCCTGATCCAGGCTCAGGACTAGGCTAGAGCAGAATTCTACAACTACACTTGATGCCTTGAAAAGTCTGTTTGGGGGCATCCTCATTGCTTGCTCCTCCCTGTTTACTCCTTATTGTTTGTTCCTGCTCCCTTGATATCTTAAATGTCCTCTTCCAAGTGGTCCCCAGGGGATGATTCTTGTACTCTCAACCTTTTCTTCTTTCCATTTGGATCTCACTGAGCCTGACTTGCTGCTAAAAATTTAACCTAGATTAGTGAACATGGGCACTACTATATTGTTTGAGTTTTTAATTTTTGAAAAAAAATAGTATCTATTTAAAACTCACTATTCTATAGTAAAATCATGTTACGTGTACATACGAATGAGCTTGAGTCTTCCAAGAGCCCTTTGAGATGGATATTTATGGGAGAGCAATGGGGGCCTACAGAGGTGAAGGGATTTTCCCAAGCTCCTTCATTCAGAATTGAAGCAGGAGATGGTGGCAGCAAAATCTGCTTTCCCTACTTTCCTGCATTTCCTCCCATGACATTTAATCATGGCTGTTGGATATATTGGTAAAATTATAGGCTTCTCAGACTTAGGCAGACCCATGTGTAAAAATGAGAAAGAAAAGGGCTACCTAGCACGTCCATCTCTCTTCAAATGAATTAACTCACATTTTTTATCCTCCTTGTTCATTCTCCTACTACCTGCAATTACTAAATACCATGCTATCATTCTCTCTCATAGTTGTATAATACTTTCTTATATTGTTTTGGTGCTCTCCAGAATAGAATTTTGGTCTCAGTATTGTTTGTTTCTTTTAGTCGCTCTTTCAAAGTTTGGAGTCGCAACAGAACATTTGGAACACTTCGAATTTATAGGACTTGATAGAAAGGCCCAGTGGTAATTAGGGTAATTTTATATTAATTATTGTTATTTTATCCCATTGCTAGGGAATTTAAGAACATTTTTACGAGTGTGAATGGTTGTTTGTTTGTCTAAAAACAAACAAACAAACAAACAGTCTTGCTCTGTCGCCAAGCTGGAGTGCAGTGGCACAATGCGAGTTCTAGGCTCACTATAGCCTCTGGCTCCCAGGTTCCAGTGATTCTCCTGCCTCAGCCTCCCAAGTAACTGGGATTACAGGCATACACCACCATGCCCAGCTAATTTTTGTATTTTTAGTAGAAAGGGGATTTCAACATGTTGGCCAGGATGGTCTCAATCTGTTGACTTTGTGATCTGCCTGCCTTGGCCTCCCAGAGTGCTGGGATTACAGGCATGAGTCACTGCCGGGCTGATGTTTGTTTGTTTTAATGGCAGTGGCTGTTCTGGAAGAAATCGATTAAGGAAATGTCACAAGTTACTACAAGTTATTGCTATTGAGGTCAGAATGTTCATGAGGATCAGTCAAATAGTATTTTGCAGTTTGTAATGACTTTCTCAGGTAAACTGATGACTAAAGGATAGTGATAGTTTCTGATTTGAGAACAGGACCTCCTAAGTATACAGATTTCAGCATTTTAAAGGTCAGTTACCAGTTCAGATCACCAGGAGCAACATCCTGGAACACCGTCAATCTACAAGCATCAGCACTGGGTGTAGTACCTTTTCACTGATTAGAACAAGTGAAGCAGAAAGTGCCCACAGGGAAAGTTTGCAGAAGTCTCAAACCATTCCCATGTGGTGAGCAGGAATCCAGCACCTGAGTACAAGCCCAGGGAAGGCTTCAGAAACATTTGCTTAGCCTTGACACAAGCTGTTGGGAGAAAAATACAACAGCATTTAAGCATGTATTGGCTATACAGCCTGCTAGAGGCAAGCTGACCTTTTTAATCTACTTTTGGACAAATAGAAAAAAAAATAAGATCTAAAAATATGGACAGTGGATGTTCAGTGGCATAGCCAGAAATTTGGTATCTCACATAAGAACTTCAGAATGGGATAGATGTTTTGCTCTCAGAATACGGAAAATGTCAACATTGTTTACAACTTATGAAAGGGGGATACTCTTCCTCACTCAGATATTGTTTCCAAGAATTTGTTTACATTTTCCCACATAGAAGAGTTGCTCATATCATTAACCCTTAAGTTAAATAGTCAATACTTAAAGTGTCTTTGTAATATCAGCAATGTTGCTTGAAATGCAGTGGTTTTTGTACTTTTTTTTTAGGTCTTGAAGTTTCTGATATTATCCTGCAAATATAGCTCCTACTATATTATCTTAATATTTCTAATAAAAGGTTATCCCATGTGGGCTAGATGGCTTTTTCTGACCTCCAAGTCACTAAGTCTTACCAGCATTGCTTAGATAATAATCAGCCTATGTTTATAATAAGTTAAATGTGACTGCAAAAATATCTTAAGAAAAAACCAATCTAGGATTAATGCACATCTTACATAGGTATATAGTTTCATTTGTGATTAATATCATTCAATATTTAAAACTACTTCACACAATCTTTGTGTCATAGGACTTTATCGTATATGTAAGGTTAAGTTTATAAAATTGATAATTAACAGTTTTTTAAAGAAAAAGCAGATATTACATAATAGTTTTAGCAAGTAGGTCAATTGCCCTGGTAGCCTCAAAACAGCAGTGAAGACCTAGATAGGTTGAAGATCTAGAAGGTTGAAGAATGAATATACCCTATAAACTAATATAAAGTATATGTGCTTATTTAGCTGAACTGATATGTATATGTGCCAGGTATTAGAATGGAAAAATCATAGACGAAAATATAGCCCTATTTCCAAAGGGTTTGATAGGTACTCAGACACAAGTGTAGAATTTACATTTCACATTTAGTTATATTGCATGTTGCATATACACCATAGATCATTTTGCATATATATCAGACTCCTGAACAACATGGGTTTGAACTGTGCGGGTCCTCTTATAAGCAGATTTTCTCCCTCCTCTGCCACTCCTGAGACAGCAAGAATAACCTCTCCTCTTCCTTCTCTTCAGCCTACTCTATGTGAAGACAGTGAGCATGAAGACCTTTATTAGGATCCACTTCCACTTAGTAGTAAATGTGTTTTCTCTTCCTTATGATTTCTTAACATTTTCTTTTCTCGTATTCTTATCATATTCTTTATTGTAAGAATATATAATACTTATAATATACAAAATATGTGTTAATAGACTTTCTATAATCACTATGGATTCCAGTCAACAGTAAGCTATTAGTAGTTAAGAGTTTTGGAAAAGTCAAAAGTTGCATAATGGATTTTTGATTATGTAGGGATTTGGCACCCCTAAACCCCATGTTGTTCAAGGATTAACTGTATATGTAAAATTGCATATGATATCTACACCTACTGATAACCTGGAAATATCAGAGAATGGGAGGGGAAAAGGCAGTTGCCAATCTGCTAAGCATATATCTGCTATGAGAAGTATTATGATATTACTTAGCACATTTACTTATTATAATTCTAATTATAGTCCTCACTCTACAAGGATATGGAAGTCAAGAAGAACAGAGCAATTTAAGCTTATGCAACTTGTTAATAGGAGTTGTATTAACATCTTTTGTATTGAACAAAGTATCTGTGGCTTCAAAGTCATCGTCCCCAAATTTTCCTCATTCTCCATTACCTTGTGTCCCCGTTGCACCATGCTGCCTCAACTGCTTCACATATTTTAGGTTTGTTTTCTTTTGATAATGCATTTGAACTATTTTAGAAATAAAGATAAGAGATACCCCATCAATGTCTGACTGCGAAGGGCTGACCTGCTACTAAACAATGGATAATTCACAAAATAAATCTAAATTACTTTCTATTTGATGTATAAAATGTGGAAGCTGCAAAGAACCCAAGAGCCTTCCTCCTTCATTTTACAAATGAAGAAACTGAGCCTCACAGTGGCACAGCTAGTTATACTCCATTAACCAACCACATATCAATGAGGCAGCAGATAGTTTTGAGTATTTTTCAGTGATTTGCAGGAAAATATCTATTATTTGTCATTTGGCTTTTTGACACCACTTTTACAACCATGTTTATTAAAATACATGCCTTCAGAACAAATGAATTACTGGTATGTTCTTGACCGGGATTATGAGTTTCCTAAGTGTTGGGTGGAATCAAACTATAAGAAAAAAAAAAAAAAAAAAAACTAGAAGAGACTAATCTTTACAGATTAATTTGGTTCTTCCACCCCAGTTTATGAGGCAGCAATCTTGCCATGCTTATTGATTATCAGACAAGACTACTAATCCCCTTAAGGTCATTAAGTGTACTTAATTAAAGAGCAGTTAGCAAGCTTCTCTTTACTAAAGTAATGTGGCTGTTAAAAGTGATTTGTACTTTACCAATACGGTAGCTATTAATCTGAAGGACAATTTACCATTTATATTTTCCCAAACAAATATATTTGGTAGGTCAAGCGAGCACTGATATTTATTATGAGCCCTTTTGATGCACCATATCTGTAATTGTCAGTAAAGAAAGAAAGGCTCCAATCACGCTGTCTGTTTAATAGAAGAGTCATTTCTATCTTTCCGAGGCTGCAACTAATTATTGTTTGCTCAACAGTCCGATGCCTTCCCCTTTTGCCAATACAGGGAATAGTGTTGATTTGAAAAACAATGTTATTTCTTTGTATTTAAAAAAGAATTTGAACAAGAATAAGGGAAATAGCTACATCCACCTTATGAAGTGTCAACTCATAAAAACCGAGTTGACAAAATTCCTAGTTGGAAATCATAGGCTGGGACATTTATTCTAGATAATTTCATGGTGTTGTTGTAGGAGTAGTTAGATGACTGAATTTGTGGATTGGCCTCCTACAACATTCTCCATCTTATCCTACACCCTTTCAGTACCTTCACACCTAATTGTTCAAGACTGTACAGGCAATATGGCAAATGCATAATGGCCTTGTACCTGCTGACAGACATTGCTGTGGATGTCTAGATACTAGGAAGCTCCTAAGGGAAGGGAAGAGTAATCACATGTAACAGTCCTGGCTTTCATAAATGCCACAGGCTACTCCCACACAGCTCAATTGGAGTTATTACAGGAAAAACTGGAGAAGCTTCCAGTACTCAGAAAAGTGATGGCAAAACTGGGTGTTAGTGTGAATTACCTCTTAGACTATCTTAGTTCCCTTGCTTCTTTAGATTTCTATTTCCCAGTTGGAAAATGGATTCATAAAGATGCCCATCTTATTTGGGAACCCATAAGAAAACATTCAGTTCCCCAGAGAAAAGAAAACACAACAAAGCAACAAGGTTTTGTTAACAGAGGTTATTTTCAGTCTGTTTCTCCAAATTATAGTTCAAAAGGTTAGACCATGATAAATGAGGAGAGAAAATACTTGTGTTTTTGTGAGGTAAGCAGCAGGGGAAAATATATCTAAACATCATGTCATTGAACGATGTGAAGAGAGATTATTGGCCCATTTTTAACTCCAGATCCCTTTGCCACTGCAATGTGCTTTTCCCAGTGGTATCCACCCTTAAAACTGGACTAGACTGATAAAAACTAACAACGTAATGGCTGGTGAATTTGGCACAAACTCCACCCAACTAATATCAGTCAGATCTCTCTTTTGACTCTCAGGTATCACTGTAATACCAACGAGACTGTGTAGTGATTCTAATTTTGCAATTTGGATGGAGGCAAATGTTTTACAATACTTGGTTCTTTAGGACTATCTGTTTCTCTTCTGCATTTCCAAGCACAATTGATGTAGCATGCAAATTCACGATTCAGTATTATAGTGCCAGAAGAGCAATTTGACAAACTGTGACCCAGATCAGGAGGTTCTCAGATGGCCACCAGTAATGACTTGAACCTTGGGTTTGGAGGAAGTTAGTAAGGCCTAGGAACTAGAGGTGTGTCGGGGGAAGTATAACAGTAGGTAGTATTTATCTAGCTTGTTGGCTCTACCAAGAACATGATTACGTCTCTTATCATACAACCACCTGTGAGAGGGAGTCCATTTTACAAGTTTGGAGGCTGACACTTAAGATCACAACCAAAAAAATATATATATCACAACCTATTAAATTGACTGCAGTGAAATGCTTCTGTATTATATGAGCACTTTAAAAAGGGAGAAGGACAGATGAATGAACACTTAGAAGGGGCAGAAGGAATCATCTCTCAAATACCATCAATACTCGAATATTGAAGGAATCACAAGATAATTATTAGTCATCGTGACTCTTACTGTTAAGGTGAATGGTAGAAAAGAGGGGTGGGAGCTTCAAGTATGTGTGCTACAGATGGTTGCATGAGCTCTCTCTCCTCCAATGGAAGTGTTGACTCCTAATATAAAATTAGCCAAATTCCAGTGAAAAGCATTTGGCCATGTTGTATAGTATGAGAACGATATATTTTAAAAGCATACTATATATTCATTGCTTTTATTGGTCTGGGATTGATGCAACTAAGGTTACTGAAACTAAGACTTAACTAAATTAACCAGATTCTTAACTTTCACCATGTGAATTGTTTTCCTTTCTTCGTTTCTTTAACTTATTTTATACATGTTCATGTTTGCCAATGTCATTGTTATATCCAGGACATCTCTTTAATATTCCTTCAGTGACTATTAAATTTGATTTCAAAATACATTAATTTAGATTTTTTCAAGCTGCTTACCATTTAGCAGTATTTTTAATGTCCTATTTATCTAATACAGTTGCTTGTGCTGTTTTTATAATCAGATAAGGGTCATTAAACCATTTTTGAGATTAAATAGCACAAAACCATTTTTTTTGTTTATGTGCCCCATTAATATTAGAGCTTATGCTTACTGTGGCTTAATGTTGCATTTTTAAATATCATTTATGTTAATATGAAAAGGCTCTATTATCTAATTGTGAAGATTATTTCCATGACTTTCCAGCATAATCTCTCCAAATATTGGCCTCCATATTGCTTTGAAGCTGACAGATTTATAAACTTGGGCATTTCTTAGGACAACATTTGAAATGCTGTTACCCTTACTCGGTCATTGTATTATGTTTGGAGTTTTGATTTTTCAATTGTAGCAAGTATCTAAATGCTGAGCTTCTTGTTTTGGTACAGCTGTTATCTGAAGCATTCATAACACTGAAGCCCCAGTGAACCTTCCTATTAAGTCTTCTGAAACAAGACAGAGAAAAAGCTGCAGGCAGAGAAAAAGACCAAGAGAGACCAAGCAAGTGAGTAACCAAACAAGTTAAGGCACATACCTCTTAAACAGCCAACCTTTTGACTGTTTCACTCAAACTACGCTTTTTCAGAACAGGGGAAAATGTCAACTGACATACAATGTCCTGAATTACACACATCAAAAGTCCCTTTCATGACTATAGATTATAAGTTCTCTGGAAAGTTTCTATTTCAAATATTCTCTTCCATTATGGATGTAAATACATCCAGGTGTGCTGTTACTTCCAATTATTACAGGAAATATGAAGTCATTGTAAATTTTATCCAGCATCACTTACAATAAGTGGAGAGGTCTTTTCACGCCAAGACTACCAAAGTACCTCTTTGTTCAGCCCTTCAATCCACACAAGTGGGGTTGCTTTGTGCACAGTGCACTCCCTTCTAGGTGTAGCCTCCATAGGTGGCCCTGCTGACTTGGAATGTATCAGTCCTACAGGCTAGTTTCTTTCATCAGTGACCTAGGGCACCTACCACTTCTTCCTATGCACCCAGCCAACATCATCTGTGAATCAGACCCTTTATACATTAGCTGTTTCTGGATAGAGTGATTTCGTTATATCTTCCTAAAAGGAGAATGAGCCATATCAAGTATAGTTGAGAATGCAAATGTTGTGGCAAGAGCACTGGGTTTGGATGCAGGAGCCCTGGGTTCAAATCCCCACTCTCTAATTTATGAGAGAGATCACTTAATCTCTCCAAACTTTAGTATTCTTAACCATAGTGATCAATACCACCTACTTCCCAGGGCTGTTATGAAGATTAAAACAGGTAAGTGTACATAGATATGTTTTTTAAAAACTTTTAGATACCATATTAAGTTCAGATAGCACCAAACTTACTACTCGTAATAACATATGTATAATGTGAACACCTTAGTAGCATCTAATACATGCCAGACTGTTTCAAGTGTTTTGTTGTGTTATACTTCATCCAATCCTCCTTATGGTCCTCAGTAGTTGGTACAGTGAACATACCCGCTGTATAAAAGGCTAAACTGAGGTTAAACAATTTGCTGCTGAGTCACATAGCTAGTAAATGAATGAGCTGAAATTTGACTCCAGGGTCCACGTTCATAATCAGTATACTATTTTGCCTCTTGAATAATGTAATAATGATAATAATTACACTATACCATATATACACACACACACACACACCCCTTCTGATGAGTCAGTATGTTTGATGTTTTCCCTGACTATCCTGTCCTCTAATCATTGGCCCAGCTCCTGAACAAATATTTTTTGGTAAAGTAAGGGAATGACTCAGTATGTAGGAATTTAAAATACATGTCCTAATACAGTGGGTCAACAATCTCATCTCCCCTCCAGGTGACCGTATGATTAGAAACAGCAAAATTAAATAGTAATAGAATATTTTCATTTGATATAAAATATTAATGATGGTTTTAAACGATATTTTCAAGGAAATTATTGGTCACATCTGTGTCTACAATGTATCCTGCCACCTATTTTAGCTGCCTTCAATTTAGAGAAACTCTATTAAACTTATATTCATCTCTTTTCAGGTATTCATGACACTTCAAAGATTGCTTAGTTATACTTACGCTTGTCATCCCCAGCATGTAGTTTGCCAAATGTAGTTACAAAAGATGTGACTGCTGTCTGGTCATACTGTAAAACTTTTTATCTAATGCCATACTGAGTTCCCATGCCTCCCAATGGCAGAAAGTGTTTTAGTCAGTTCTGGGTTTTCTGTCATTTTAGACTTCAATTTAGTTAATTCAAAAATGTCCCCTCTGTATTCTACTCACACTCATAGGGTTTAACGCCGTCATAGAGAAGCCTAGTCATAATGCCCTCTGCTGAGGGAGCCACAGTTCTGCATCATCTCTGGTCTGCTGGCTTCCTTGTCTTCAACTCAAGCCCTTTCTTTTGACATTGGCCAAGTATCAGCACTCACATAGTTCTTTTGTGGGCATAGGATCTTGTGCTCTCTGGGCTCTTGGATATTTGCAGGGGTGGAGTAGGTAAGGTGGGGTAGACAGTGTCTCCTGTTTTCTCCACCCAAGCTTGCCCCCTATTTAATACCCTTGACTCTGCTGCTGTTGCATTTAAGTGTAGGATCTCATTTACTTGATTGGGTTCCTATTGACTTTAAAGCCTTCCTACTCACAGGTAATCAAACACAGCGGGGATTCATTCAGCCTTTTCCACTCTGCTCCTCTCCCTTCCCTGGAGGAGGATCTTATTTTTCTAGTTTTGGGAGTTTGGAGATGGGTAGAGGACAATATAAAATTGGTTCTGTATGCTTGCACATGCTTGTAAATCTTTCCTTGTAGGAAAAGTGTTTACACCTGGACTAAGTTCTTTGATGTGACAGTCAAGGTGATGGTCCAATCGTCCCGGTGTAACTAGGTCCCTACTCTGGGTGATCCTGAAATGGGACTGGGTAGAAGTAAACAGAGAAATGGACTGGGGTGGGGGTATCTTGTCAGTGTCATCTAACCACATATATTTAATTGCATTTCTTGTCTTTCCCTTCCTTTCCTTTTAAAGACAAATGATGGAGAAACATGGTGCCATTTGTGTTGTTTGAAGAAATATTTGAGGTTCTGCTTTCCTTTCCAATAAAAGTCCTGCTTCAGCTACCATGTTTGACTGCTTGTGGCAGGGCATTCGCTATCTCTCTCTCTACTTGGACTATATTACTTCCTTCCATTCAAATTTTTATTTAATTGTGTGCATTTATTTTCATTAGCAACTTAATGTTGAATTCCATGATTTACTGAATTGTTAGCATTTTAATAAATAAGAATTTGTAACTTAAGGCTCAAATATCCAAACAATATACATATTGCTGCTTTTTGGCTTGTTTTTCAAATATTTATTGAAGTGCCTATATAATTTCTTATGCCATCATTGTTCTGGGTAATTAAAATATGGCAGTGAACAAAGTAGGAAACAGTCTCTACTTTTACGGAGTTTGGAGAATATCTTGGAAGATTGCTAGATACTAATCATAAAAGGTGGAAAAAGAAAGAGGTTGTCTATGTTGTAGCCGTAATTTTCCAAATATGCCATGTGATGTGGTGTAAAAATAGAGGAAGAAAGAGTTATCTTATGTACCTGAGATCAAACTGAGTTAAATTATTCCATCACCACCATTCTCTGTGACTCAGGAGTATGGAGTTGGAATGTTAAGTAATGTCAACATTACTTAAAAGGATTACAGCCAGCTAAGTTTAAACTTGATGCTTCCCAGGGCATTAAAGAGATAATCACTGACTAGGAAAGGCTTATAATGAAAATGCCATTTCTTTCATTATATGAGGTGGTAAAAATATATTTAAATACATTTTATCATTAAACATTATAGGTATATACCATGCTACTGATGGGTTTGATGAAAATATTCCAGAGTGATATGCAGCATATTCTTCTGAAAAAATGGTCCCGACCACATTGGAATTTGATGTTAAAAGTAAGCCAGCCTGGAAGTATGACTCATTTGAAAGTTTTTGTTAGGAAACCTGTCCCGATGCAGCAAACAAAAATATTTAGGACACACAGTTGCATGGTATTTCATGGTGGCATTTGTGCCAATATTTTAAAAACAATCACCAGAAATTTGATTGTTTGGCTTTGGACTAGGCAGCCAGAAATAAAGTCCATTCCTCCGGAGTCCTGGTCACAAATTGTATTTGTTTCTATAACACTTGTTTCTTTTTTACCTCCAGGACTTAAAAAGGTTTCCTTTCACCGGAATTGTGCCTATAATGTGCATCCCTATCTCTATGAACAGTGCCTGCCCTGTGTCTATCCAGATGAATATGCAATTTGCATGTTGCTGATTAAAATGAAAGTCTGCACATGTATATGAATGTCTGGTCACACTTTAAAAGGAAATCTCAAATGCTGACAGAATACCTTCCCCCTTTCTGTACAATCCAACAGCTGGAGTTCTTGTATATACACTAAGCCTTATGCCGTATCTTTTAAACAAAGAATGAACCCGTAGAGGAAAAGCAGCCAGGAAGACTTTGGCTTCATGGCTCTGCATGAAACAAATGCCCCCTGAGAGCCTCTTCCTGCTCCTCTACTCCTCTGCTTCAGAATCCCTGGCTGTTGGTATTTGAGTGATTCAGCAATAGATGCTCATGGGATTTCTTCCGGCAGTGAGAAGCCCAGTTTTAGATTATAATAGACCAGCTACCGGTGAAGAACACAGAATGTTATCAGTCAGCTTTTACATTGGTGTCTTGGGAAGGGATTGGGGGAGAGGGGGTAGGGAGCAAAAGAGAAATTGGGTAGGAGAAGATGTTATATCCTGTTAGTGTCCCGAGTTACACTAGGAGACCACGAAGACATTTATTCTAAACTATACAAAAAGTAGCCATTGGTAAGAACGTTCTTTTAAGTAGCAGGTTAAGAATAAGACAGCTACTGCTGATATGGTCAAAAGGGGTCATTTGTATACTTAGATCTTAAAGTGAAATTAGAGAAGTATTCACAAAACTCTTAACTGCTTAAATTACATGAAAGCTCACTATTTTCCTAGAATACATCAATGCTGCACATATGAGAAAAGTGCCCTGCCTTCTAGTTCTGAAGCCAATCAATACGTCCACCTGCATCAAGTTTTTCCCATTTAGATCATTTATTCATCTTCTAACTGGGTTGATTGAAATGGTCAAAAGGCAAAGTTTCTTCCTCCCTTATCCAGAAAAGATAAGTGTAGGGTTAATTTTAGATTAATTTGTCTTGCCTCTGCCCTCAGAACAAGACAATTCTTTTGACCAAATTACTTTTCTTTATATTAACAAAGGGGCCCTAGAAAACGATGTTACCTGACATATGTTTAATGCGTCGTGACCATTGTATAAAGTGCCAGGAGTTATTTAAAAAAGAATAAGTAGAATTCATCATCTAGCACTTAACTGTTGGCTATGTCATAGAAGTTGAATGAAGGTTTATTAGTTGAAGGAAGTCTATTGTAGGAATAGAACCTTATAGGTAGCTGTAACAGAGTGGTCTACCCTAAGAGCCAAGAAATGTTTCTTAGAAGAGGAGATATCTGACTTTAGTATTTATATATGATTAGGAATTCACAATTCAGTGAGAAACAGAAGGAGCAGGTCATGTTAAAATAGCCTGGGATTTATGAAAGGCATGGAAGCACAACATACACAGTGTATTTAGGAAACTGGGAAGTGTGGTGTGGATGGAGCATAGGGTGAACACGAAGTAGGGGGAAAGGATGGGGTTGAGGTTAGAAGGTGTGGTAAGAGCCAGGGCTCGGAGAAGGCGTGGACCTATATTTTACTCCCTATTGTGTGTTCAAGACAAAGAGTCCCTGGTTTTCAGGAGGGGTTGATTATTTGTTGAGTAAATGAATTGATAGATGGATAGATGGATGAAATGATGATGATGAAGCCACTAATTTATTCTTATAGACAGGGAGAGGTCAATGAAGACTTTTAAGCAGGATGGTGACATGAGACACATAGCATTGATGGAGAATTTGTGGGCTGGTTGATGGAGAGACTGGAGTCAGGGAGGTCCCTGAAGTAGCTATGCATTGTCTACTGATGAACTTCTAAGGAGAATTTTGTTTAAGGTAAATATAGTACATAGAGAGCTACATATAAAGCAGAATCAATAAATACTGTTGACTCATTAGATAGAAGGGGCGGACGATTGAGAATGACTGGCTGAGCAATGATTCAGACAAGCAGCCTGTGAAGAACCTGGAACCTGAGCAGGTATTAGGTAAAGATATCCTATAGGTTGTTAGACATGCAGGTCCTGAAGTCACAGGAAAAATGGGAGCTCAGGAGAGACCCTCAGGGGCCTTTAGGCTATAGATGGTATCTGAGAAGAAAATGTGAGGGAGGAATTCTGAGGATCATCAAACAGAAGGATCTAAAAAGGAGCTAAAAAATGCACTGAAAGGGAGATTACAAAACAACAACCAGGTAAGAGGACCAGGAAGAAGTAGGACCGGCTATTTGTTTGTTCACTAGGACGTTCTGAGAAATGTCATCTATTGGAGTTACTGAATGTAAACCTTCTTCCCAGTTTGTAATTTTCATTTACTATAATGCTCTAATATGTTTATTTGATTACTCATTTAATGGGATTGTGCCATACAACTTGGCTTAATGAACACTGAGGATACAATGATGCTTTGCAATAATTTTCAGAAAGCTGCTTCATTTTCCTTATCTGTACTTCCTAATACCAGGTGAAAACTTTGCCCCATATCCTCACTTCCAAAGTAATAGTAATGACACAGGTATTCTGTTAAAATCAGGCCCAAACCTGGGGGAAAAAAATCAACATACTTGGGGTTAGGACACAGAGTATTTTTCAAAAAAAAAAAAAAAAAAAAGGAAGAATTCAGGGGTTGTTGGGGTAGGAGGGGAGAACCACATAAATCCTTAGAGATTAGAAAATTTCAAGTTTCCTTCCTTTTGTGAAAACCATTTCCCTTTTGGGATTTAACAGCTACTCAGAAACCAGGTAAGTCAAACACATTCTCAAATGGGCATTTGTGGAGATCCCCAAATTCGATACAATTTAGTACAACTTGTCAGTCTGTGCTGAGAATAGCAGGGGCTGCATTTTTGCAGTTCTCTAGTTCATTTGACAGATCTTTGAGGGGAAATCCAAGCACTTACTGGCACTAAGTCATTAGTCAGTGTTTCAGTCAGCACTGGCTCACTATGTCTTCCAGGCCCTAGAAAGCAACTGCTGCC